TCTCTCTCTCTCTCTCTCTCTCTCTCTCTCTCTCTTTTGAGACAAGGTTTCTCTGTGTAGTTTTGGTGCCTGTCCTGGATCTTGCTCTGTAGACCAGGTTGGCCTCGAACTCACAGAGATCTGCCTGGCTCTGCCTCCCGAGTGCTGGGATTAAAGGCATGCGCCACCACCGCCTGGCCCCGGTGCACCTCTTAAACAAGGGTGCTATTTACAAAGATGTTGGTAGAATATAGGGAAACCATGTAGGGTAGGTATGTAGATGGGACCCAAAGCCAATGACGAGAGCACAATTCAACAAGGCGAACCAGGTCTGAGGGACAATTGTGTAGAGTGGCTCAGGGTAGGCTGTGACCTGTGTTCTTGAAGTGTGAGAGAGGGAGTAGGAGATAGAACAAAGCCCAGTTCCACTCTCCTCCTTGCTTCGACTCCCTGCCAGTGCCTCCAACTTCAGAATCAACTAGGATCTAGCTGGAAGCAGAGGGCAAGGGGCTGGTGCGTGCAGCCACCAGTGCAGTCCACTGAGGTGGGGTTCCTGCAGTGTAGGTGAAGGTGGAGAGTGGCAGAGGGTGGATATGGATCAGCTGGCAAGCGGGAGTGTTCAGCTCTTACTGTCCAATGTTGCAGGCGGGCCTACCTCTCCTTCATTTCATATACTGAGTACTTAGAGTACTAAGTCCATGAGAATGTGACTGCATTTGGAGACAGTCTTTCTACTGTATAAAGGTAGACCCTATCCAGTATGAGATTAAAACACACATAGCTTTGCTCACAGAGAAAAGACCACATGAAGACGAAGAGAGAAAGCAGACATCTACAAGGTAAAGAACCGCACTATAGAAACCAACCAACGTGCTGGCATGTGCCTGTAATACCGCTACTGACGAGGTCAAGGCCAGAGAATTGCAGAGTTTGAGGCCAGCCTGGCCTACAGAATGAGTTTACTCTGTGCATAAGGCTTTATAGTGAGATTGTCCCCTCCCAGCCGCAAGACAAGGACTTAGGTAGCCCTAGCTTGCCTTCAAAGCTTTGTCGCTGAGGATGACCTTCAACTTCTGATTCTCTTGCTTCTGCCTCTGGAGACCTGGGATGACGCGTGTGCATCATCATATCCTGTTTATTTAATGCTGGGTTTTGTGCGTACTACAAAAGCACTCTATGAACTGAACTGTAGCCCTAGACTGACAGCTCATCACAATAAACCACCACCACCATCTGGCCATGGGGGCACATGCCTTTAATGCCAGCACTTTGGAGGCAGATGCAGTAGATTTCTGTAGTTCAAGGTCAGCTTTGTCTACATAAGTTTCAGGCCAGCCAGGGTACTTAGTGGTACCCTGTCTATAAACAAACAAACAAACAAACAAACAAACAACAACAAGAAGCAAGGGGCTGAAGTGATGGTTCACTCAAACACATACTGCTCTTGTAGGGTCAGGCGAGAGCTTGTGTTTAAGGGCTAGTGGAGAGGGCTAGAGAGGTGGCTCAGTGGTTAAGAGCACTGGCTGCTCTTCCAGAGGTCCTGAGTTCAATGCCCAGCAACCACATGGTGCCTCACCACCATCTATAATGAGATCTGGTGCCCTCTTCTGGCCTGCAGGCATACATGCAGGCAGAACACTGTTTTGGGTGTCTGTATAACTGAGTGGTAGAGTACTTGTATGTGAGACACTAGGTGCCTCCCTCTCCCATAAGGCGATCTGCGGGACGCCATCAAAGGCCGTACTCCCAGGTGGCCATCACAACAGTGACACTGTGACCATCACGGGACAGTTGCTGACCAGCACTTACTGTGTACCCTAGCCTGTCCCATTCAGCCTACTCTAGAAGACACAAAGCCTCAACTGTCCGTTCTTTCTGTTCCCAGCTACCCAACAATGTCATCCTGTGTTATGAGCAAACATGTCTTGAGTGTGGGCTTCTGATCAGCCATGTCTCCACACTCCCAAGTATTCCTTTTTGTCCACCAATACTCTGTTCTTTCTGTTGCAGAAGGATCAAATGTGACAATGGAAAGGGGAATTTCAAAGGTTCAAGGTGGATCACTCCAGGATAACTTAGAAAAATCTCCCACTTAGTAATTTCTTCTGACTCGAGAATTTATGTCTTCTGCTTTCCTCCATGAACTTGGAATAAACCTTTCTTCTTTCTTTCTTTCTTTCTTTCTTTCTTTCTTTCTTTCTTTCTTTCTTTCTTTCTTTCCTTCCTTCCTTCCTTCCTTCCTTCCTTCCTTCCTTCCTTCCTTCCTTCCTTCTTTCTTTCTTTCCTTTTCAAGACAGGGTTTCTCTGTGTAGCTTTGTGCCTTTCCTGGGACTCGCTATGTAACCCAGGCTGGCCTTGAACTCACAGAGATCCGCCTGCCTCTGCCTCCCGAGTGCTGGGATTAAAGGCGTGCACTGCTGCTGCTGCTGCTGTTGCTGCTGCTGCTGCTGCTGCCGCCGCCGCCGCCGCCGCCGCCGCCACCGCCTGGTGGAACAAACCTTTCCAATTCTTTTGCAGCATAGTCTGTGCTAGCTTACAGGGGCAGGCCTTGGAGGGAAGGGGAAGTATGCCTGGAGACTAGGGCCGCAGATAGCTCGGACACAGATTAGAAAGTTGTTGAAGACTGGGAAGGTTATATTTAGCCAGGAGCGTGTTTACTCCCCAGAGCTGACCCCCTTAGATCTCAGGGACCTGGGAGCCAGTTGGCCCAGGGGCCAGAGTCCTTTTCTCTTCTTTCTTTCTTTTTCTTTTTAGATTAAACATATGGTATAATGTCCTAGTTTATAGGCAGTGGACTTGCAGACACACATCTCTCCTCCTCCTCCTTTTCCTTCTTCTTTTTAAGATTTTGTTTTTAAAACTACCGTGTGTGTGTGTGTGTGTGTGTGTGTGTGTGTGTGTGAAGGACAGCTACAGGCTGGTGCCCACGACCTCCAGAGCCATCAGGTCTCCCTGGAGTTGGAGTTACAGGCTCTTGTGATGCTGGGAACTGAACTCGGGTCCTCTGCAAGAGCAGTATATGCACTTAACTGATCTGCCACCCCTCCAGCCCCTGTTCTAGAGCGTGGAGGCAGGAGTGATGCCGCCTCTCAGCTCAGGCCTCAGGTCACTGTATCTCCTGCTGCTAAGGCCAGCTTTGTTAAAGCCTTTCAGCTCCTGTCTCCAGCGTCTGGCTAGTTAAGGTAGCAGGCAGGGAACAGGAGAGTGCCCAGGCTGGGCTGGATCCCGGTTCAATCAGTTGCATATCAGACAAAGGTACTTAAGTTCCTGCGGCTTTGCTTTCTCACCCATAATGAGGATGATAATGGCTACGCTGTGGGTAGGCGGAGTTATCTCTGAGATAACACAAACAAGCGGCAACTGCCCTAAAAACATTCCCTGCTTCCCTTCTGGGACCTCCCTTAGAGTGGGAGGAGGATTTTGAGATGACTTCATGCTTTTTCCTAGGGACAAAGATAACCGGCTCCTTGGAGACCTAGTGTGTGATTCAAAACATTCATTGGGTCAAAAAGTTTACATATGAATACAAACTCTTTACAAGGCAAAATAAAGAGAAAAAAACCACCTCTGAATTTACCCTTGCATTTTTGTCCTAGGGATAACTGAAGTCCACAGTCCCATATGCTTTGGCACAGATTTTATCCTCATACAAACACTGGCACCTGTGGATGGATGGTTTCTTTTTCCCTCTTACAGGCTGGGATCCTCAAGTGATGCAGTTTTTTGTTTGTTTGTTTGTTTCTGTTTTCATTTGACCACAAGCCATGGGCACTAATCTAGGTAAATACAGATGAACTAAGTTTGCTGATTTTAATAGCTGCATAAAGTTTAGTAGAACCAACGAACTCTAATTTTCCAGCCACTTTTTTGTTTGTTTGTTCTGAGATAAGGTCTCTCTACATAGCCCTGGCTGTCCTGGAACTCACTATGTAGACCAGGCTGACCTCGAACTCAAAGAGATCCTCTGCATCTCGAGTGCTGGGATTAAAGGTGTAAGCCATCATGACACGGCCATTTGACGAATTTTAATTAATTAACTATATGTGTATGGATATTTTGCCTGCATGCATGTCTGTGCCTGGTGCCTGCAGAGGTCAGAAGAGGACATCGAATTCCCCGGAACTGGAGTTACAGGCGATTATGTGAGCGATGGAACTCGAATCTGGGTCCTCTGGAAGAGCAACCAGTGCTCTGAACTGTTGAGCTCTCTCTCCAGCCCGATGGATTTTTTTCTTTTTAATCTTGTCATGACAATCAACAATGATGACCCCTGCACAAATACCCTGATGAAACGTCTTAATTTCTACGGAGTCCTTCTCCTGATCTAAGGCATCCATCTCTCCAAACCCACACTTTGAGAAGCTGACCACTGACAGGCTACTTTCCCCCAGATTTTCAGCTTCCTCCCCGAACGAGTTAGTTATGAACGCTTTTCACGCTTTAAACTCCAGAGCTATCGGGCGGGCGAGTGCCGCCTCCAGAGGAGGGAACGCTACTTGCAGGCAGCCTTCCACTGAGCGCGAAAGCAGATTGCTCCAGCGACCGGTTTAAGGAAGGAGGCCTGGACGCTCATGTCACCTGGGAAAGTGACTTCGCCCCTCTTTGGGTCTCAGCTTCCTTCTGCGTCGCCTAACTGGCCAAGATTAGGAATAATTGAGCCTGGAGCCGGTGGCTTCAAACGTCAAGAGTGGCTGGCTGACTGTAGGATGTGCCTCATCTCCGCGAGCCCCACGGTATTCCCTCCACACTGCCCGACCTGCGGGAGAGGAGGAGGCTTCCGAAAGTCAGCAAGAAACCAAGTGCCACATTCAATCTTTGCCCTGGACCAGTCAATTACGACTCCGGCGTAGCTTTGGCGCACGCCTGCCCTTTCCGGATCGGCCATCGATTGTTCCTGTCTGGCACACCCCCCCCCCGGTCCCCGCAGGAGTAGCGGAGCGCGCCCGCTCAGCCCATCATTTGCTTCTGCCTGACTCCGCCCTCCGGACGGCGCTGAGGCGGGACTGGGATCCACGGCTCGGCCAGCAGCTTGTCCCCCCCTTCACTTGCTTGCTGCCGCTTCCGCTTCCGGCAGCAGCTAGCGGCTGTCTGCCCTAGGTGACCATGGCGGGGAGCCGGCTGGAGACGATTGGGAGCGTGTTTTCCCGGTGCGTGCTCAGAGTCGGGCGTGAGCAGGGTTCCCAGAGGGTCACGCCGCTCCTGGCGTGGCCGGAGCGGGACGCGGTTGCGGGTGTCCGAGCCCGGAGAGGCCCTCGTGCTCGCTCCTGGCTCGCAGTGTTTGTCGACGTCCCCGTGGAGTTCTGATCTGTCACTTTACAGATTCGCCACCCCACTTCGGGGGAGACCGCTAGAATAAAGAAGGGGCTGAAGGGCTTGACCGGACGGTCTTGGCGTTTCCACCGTGGAACGGTGGCCGGGCTGGGGGTTGGGATGCATGCGAGGAGATAAGAGTGGCCTAAAGTTGAACGTGATGGCTCATGCCCATAATCTGAGCACTTGGGAGGCGAGGCAGGACGATCGCCACCAGACCGAGGCCAACCTGGGCTACGTAGCGAAGTTCAGGACAGTCAGGCTACTGGAGGACTTTTTGTCAAAACAGAAAGACAGCCTGGCGTGGACACGCTGTAATCCTAGCACCGGAGAAGTTCAGAGAGGCACTAAATTCAAGGTTATCCTCGACTACATACTGAGTTTAAGGCTATCCTAGGCTACGTGAGACCTAAACAACAACAGGACTTAACACTGGCCGTGCTAGGTTGCTGTGGAATGTGGCCATGTCTCCTCTAGGTGGGAAGCCCTGCTCAGCTCACCTGAACTGCGCTGCTCTGGCCTGCCTTAAGTTGGTTCAGGGACTTTGACAGGCTGTTGTAATGGACTGACCGTGGCTCTGTTCCCTCTCTAAGGACGAGGGATCTGATGCGTGCTGGAGTGTTGAAGGAGAAGCCGCTGTGGTTTGACATATATAAGGCCTTTCCGCCGCTGAGAGAGCCTGTCTTCCGAAGACCCCGTTTGAGATATGGTAAAGCCAAAGCTGCCATCCAGGACATCTTTTACCACGAGGATCGGATTCGAGCGTGAGTGGCTGGTCCCCTGTAGTGAACACAGATGCACCAGACCTTCAGAAAGGAAGGTTTATGTAGAAGTCTGCTAAGGAGCTGACAGGGGCTTGCTCTGTGGAGTTGGTCTTGTATAGCAAGTCAAATAATGACATCTCACTCTTCCCTGTGGTAAGAGGAAACAGAAGTGTTTGTTTGGCTGTTGGTTTGTTTGCTTGAGACAGGATTTCTCTGTGTATCCCTGGCTGTTCTGGAATGTGCTCTGTAGACCAGGCTGGCCTCAAACTCAGAGATCCACCTGCCTCTGCCTCCTGGTATTTTGTTGTTTTTAAGATTCATTTTTATTTATTTATTTTTTCTTTTTTCTTTTCATTTTTATTTTTAATTACACATCTCTATGTGCATGTGAGTGCAGGTGCCCCTCAGAGCCAGAGGTCTTGCTTTTTTTTTTTTTTTTTTGAGACAGGGTTTTTTTTTTTTTGTGTAGTTTTGGTGCCTTTCCTAGAACTCACTCTGTAGACCAGGCTGGCCTTGAACTCGCAGAGATCACCTGCCTCTGCCTCCCAAGTGCTGTGATTAAAGGCGTGTGCCACCACTGCCTGGCAGCAGTTTTTTTTTTTAAAATAAAGATTATTTTTATTTTATGTGTATGGAGTTTTGCCTGTATGTTTGTCTGTGTGCCTGTGTGTTCACTGCTGGAGGAGGCTGGAAGGGGTCAGATACCCTGGAGTTGGAGTTAGCGTCAGTTGTGAAGCTCCTGTCCTGGGTACTGGGAACGGTGGGCACCCGGTCCTCTGGAAGAGCATAGTCTGTCATCTTAACTGTTGAACCATCTCTCTAGCTCCACAATGCCTCTCTTCGTGTGTGGAAGCTGCTGATTTCATTTTACAAGTTTTCTGCCATGCCTCCTGTCAGACGCGGTTCTACACGTGTTAGGCACTAAGATAGACAGTCTATTCACACCCACCAGTTTTCGTTTTTGTTGGCCTCTGCACCTTTGTGTTTGGGAAGGTCTTTTTCAGGAAGCTCAACTATCTTATTTAGTTTCAACCCAGGGTGATCTTGAACTTGTAGTCTTTCTGCCTCTACCTCCCAACTTCTGGGATTCCAAGTATGTGATATCACATCCGAGTTTTTATGTTGTTATTGCTGTTGCTTTTTGTTTGTTTGTTTGTTTGTTTGTTTTTTGTTTTTCGAGACAGGGTTTCTCTGTGTAGCTTTGCGCCTTTCCTGGAACTCACTTGGTAGCCCAGGCTGGCCTCGAACTCACAGAGATCCACCTGGCTCTGCCTCCTGAGTGCTGGGATTAAAGGCGTCCGCCGCCGCCGCCGCCGCCACCGCCCGGCACTTTTTTTTTTTTTTAAATATAATTTACTACATTTACTTCTCTATTTAGTATGTGTGTGTTTGCATGTGTGTGGGGTCAGAGGCCAACTTGTGGTGGATGGTTTTCTCCTTTTACCATCTGAGTCCCGAGGATCGAACCCTTGTCGTAAGGCTTGGGGGCAAGCACTTCTTTCTCACTGAGCCATCTTGCTGGTCCCAGGCCTACCTTTCTTGAGTTACTTTTAAAATACTAGTCAGGTGTTGGAACAAATGAAAGTACGTGTTCTTTAATTTGCTCTCTACTCCTTCTAAGCTAAGTAATGTTGGAAAGTAACATTAGAAGATGTCCTTAAACTTCTCTTTCTTTTAAATGATGAAGAAAAATTCAGATGTCACCCTAGCTGGACATGGTGGCTCACACGTGTAATCCCAGCACCTGGCAGGTGAGGCAGGTGGATCAAGAGTTTGAGGTCAGCCGGCGCTGCATAGTGAAACTGCTCCCGATAACCAGGGGCCATATCTCAGCGATCGGGCTCACCTGGCATGTGTGAGGCCTCGGTTCTTCAGTCTCTAGTTCTGTCTCTCTGACAACTCCACCCTTAGAAAAAGACCTGCCATGGACCAGGTACTGTCATCTTCTCAGTGGCTAGTGCAGCTCATGGCCTGTGGTTCATAACCGTCTGTTGATGAACCGTTAGTGGTGAGATGATTGGAGGAAAGCACCAGGCTGGCGGGAGAAGACAGTGAAAAAGGAGATGGGGGGTTAAGTCTTAACTAGTTTATTAAAAACTAGTGTCTTTTGAGACAGGGGCTGACTCCAGTGGAGGCCAAGCTGATGTCAGTTTTCTGCAGCTTCTTACCTCAGCCTCCAAGGTGCTGGGATTACAGACATGAGCTCTCACCCTCTGCTCTCCATAGCACTTCCTGACCCACAGGACAAGCATGTTCTTGCTCTCTGAGACTTTCAGACATTTCTGCTCGGGTTTGCCACATGTATGTTTTTGCCTCTTTGTGCTTTACTGTGCTGAAGTTGGACACAGGTTCTGATCCATGCTGGGAGCACTCAGCCTGTGAGACACCACAGACAGCTCAGGTTCTTGTCCACACAGGGAGCACTCAGCCTGTGAGACACCACAGACAGCTCAGGTTCTTGTCCACACAGGGAGTACTCAGCCTCTGAGACACCACAGACATTTTGGTGGTTTGGTTTGGTTTTGAGGCTCATTGTGATTCCTGGGTGGGACTTGTTGTGTAGATCAAGCTGGCTTTGAACTTGGAGACATCCCCCACCTGTGAGAGTGCTGTCTTCTCGCTGTGCCTTCCTTGGGAGAGGACAGAAAGGAAGCATGCCTTCTGTCTTTTCGGAAGGACACCATTGCTGTTTTGTTTAAGGGCTGTGTGCGTGACCTGATGAACTCCCAAAGCTCCCGTCTCTACTTTCACACCCTGGAGTTTCCACAAAGGAATCTGAAGTTGATAGCAACCACTACATAGGAAAATGGGCAGAGAAGATGAATAGTTTACAGGAAAGGAATCCAGTTTGCTTTCAAACTTGAGAAAATGTCCAATGCCATTCTTTTTCTCTTGTTGTGTGTGTGTGTGTGTGTGTGTGTGTGTGTGTGTGTGTGTGCATGTGTGTGCGTGCGTGTAGTTGATGGTGCTGAAACTAGAATTACAGTTTCCAGCCTATCAGTTTGGCAGGGGTCGTGAAACAGGAAGACAGGCGCTTGTATATTGTGGAAACTACCCGAGTGTAAGTTTGGCACTGCTGCTCTGAGAGGCACGTGAGCAGTTTGAGAGGTTGGTTTTTGTTTTGTTTTAACAGATACATAAGCACATAGCTTGATCTCGCTCTACCATGTCTGTGGATTTATTCATGGACTCACCTGTACAGCACACAGGCAGCCAGGTGTTCTTGCAGCAGTCTTGATGGCAAAGGATTAGAAACAGTCTCTGCACTGGTTTGAGACAAACTCTGAAAACACAAGATATGGGGTGAGGGGTGTGTGTGCTTAGTGGTACTGGCCTCTGTGGGGGTGATCGAAATGTTTTGGAGGGCCAGCGAGATGGCTCAGTGGGTAAAGGCGCTTGCTGCCAAGCCTGAGGACCTGAGTTCAAGCCCCAGGATCCACATGGTGGAAGGAGAAAATCTGCTCCATCAAGTTGTCCTCTGACCTCCACTCGTGTTGTGACATGCGCCACCTACACACACTTAAGTAAACAAATAGATAAAGTGTTCTGGAACTATCGAGGTGATGGTTGTAGGATTGATTGCATTAATGCCACTGGTACAGTTAAGAAGGGTTGTTAAATTTTCATTGTATTTTATTAAAGTGGAGATGTACATGTGTGGACATGCTTGAGTACATGCTACAGCATCCATGTAGAAGTCAGAGGACAACTTCACAGGAGTCCTCTCCTACCATGTGGGTTCTAGGGATCAAACGCAGGTCGTTAGGTTAGGTTTGGTGGCAAGTGCCTTTGCCTGCTGAGCCACTCAAAGGCCCAACAAGGACTAATTTTTCCCCAGTTTAAAAAAAAAAAAAAAAAAAAAAGGAAAATGGGTACCCTTTTGGTTAAAGGATGTGGCTGGGAGATGTGACGACAATTCACTGTGTGAGAGCACTTCCTGTGAAACTATGAAACCCGAGTGTGAATCTCCAGCACCCGTGTGAGAAGCTGGGCCTGGGTACATGTGCCTGTAAACCTCAGCCTTGGGGGCAGAGGGAAAGCCTGGGTACATGTGCCTGTAAACCTCAGCCTTGGGGG